ATGCAGTCCTGTATACCCTGCTTGTGAATCTTTTTTCAGGGTAGCATTCCTTTTGCTACTAACACTTTAGAAATAGATATAGTGAAGTTGGTGAGCATAAATGCAAAATTTTAAGTATAAAGGAACATAATCAGTGTCATGTTTTGAAGTTACGTTAGAACCATAGAATCCCTTCAGTATGGAAGCAGGCCACACTGACGATCCACACTGATTCTGTGAAGAGCGTTCCAGACCAACTGCCTTATCCTTTTCTGTAACTCTGCATTTCCCATGGCTAATCCACTTAGCCTGCACATCCCTGGACACTATGGGCAATTTAACATGGCCAGTCCACCTAACCTGCACATCTTTGGACTGTGGGATGAAACTGGAGCACCCGAAGGAAACCCACACATCCACGGAGAGAATGTGCAAACTCCACACAGACCGGGTGGAATCGAACCTGGGTTCCTGGCCCTCTGAGGCAACAGTACTAACCACTGAACCATCATGCTGCTCCAGAAAGCCTCAGTATGCTGGAGCAGATTGATCAATAACTGTTGTGTGTGCTTTCTGTTAGAGAAGCATTGTAGACCATAACGTTGATTACACAAATCAATCTCCCATATTTCAAAAAGTATGTGACTAGAAAGTACTGTTGGTATTCAAAATTGAACAGCTAATCTGATATTATGCCAATTCCTGATTCTAATTAACTAATGAAATAAGTCATAATATCTGCATTAAAGTGGGCAGGGGAGTACTAATATAAATGTTTTGTATTCATAAACTTGGATTATCAGAGCTAATTTCTTCCCTTTTGTCTTTATAGAACTGAAAAGGGTGGTGTAAATGCATATTAAAAATTGAACATTTCTGGTTGAACAGCTGGTTGAACTTTTCTGTTTTTCATATGTTGGAAGGAATGCAGGCGAGTGATTAAACTACTGGTGTGGCCTCTCCTGCCACTGGCAATTTTCATCAAGATGGGGGACGGCCAGCCCCGCTAACCTACCTGATCTGCTGAGTGGAATTTTCATCGTTAAAAAATTAATTGAGATCTCATGAGAGATGTGGCGAAATATTCACAGAGCTGCAATAGGCAAAGCAGGTGCATAAAGGTGGATATATGACAGGAAGCCAGTCACGACCGTTTAAAAGGGAGTGTGGGATACTGAGCCATTGTGCTGGGTGCTATTTGTGACTTGTCCAGGTAGCGAGAGTGTTTCTTGCGCAGTTGGTAGTGCAAGCAGTTCTAAGTCACTTGGTATCTTGAGTGCATAAGAGGTAGTTAGTTTGACCTCTAAATATAATTGGGTGTGTAATTTGAGTAGGCATTGGTAGCAGAACATTCATGGTCAGATCCAGTGCTGATAAGGAGCAATCTCGGTAATAAAAGGCATATTCCAGGGAAGGAGGGCTCGGGTAGGCAACAAGGTCCATATCATCACATCGATTGTACCGTTTAAAGCAGTGTTATTTATAAATGATGAAAAGCTAATATCACAGGAGATCTTGACTTTCCAGGCAGATGTGTTTGTGTCCTTGCCATGCTGTGCCAATACCATGGAAGTCATATGGCCTTGAAGATCATCTCATTCCTTCCAAGGATTATCTGTGTCCCTTGATGGCATTTTACCAATAGAGGTGCACTGAGGCTCTATTTTTGAGAGTTGGGCAGTACTTTCAAATCTAGACAGATGAGGCTTCAGGCAAAAGGACTCTGGATTTAGCTTGGATCATTGGATTACCTCAGGCTGTCAGATTGTATCCATCTGGCTATCAAAGCACGAACTGAATGAACAGTACGAGTCACTTTCAGGAAGGCCTTCCAATCTCTCTACACTCAAATGATGAACAACCACAACAAGCGTCCCCTATACATGTTTGCTTTCTCTCTTTATAGCTGCCATGACTGCTTCATCTGGTAATTCAGGTTGCTGCAACCTTTCATTCCATCCCCCAATACATTGTAGTTCAATTCAAGGCAACAAGAGAGATAGAAGAGGTTGCTGCTCATGCTCTACTTAAACCAGAGACAAAGAGGCACAAATATGCTACAACTGAAATCATCTTCACACTGGGGCCACTACTGAGCATGCTGTCAGGCTTCTGGAAATGTGGTTCCTGTGAGCCTGGATTTGTAAGGTGGTACATTGCACATTTTGGCAATCTACTGTGTAGCCCATATATACTTTTGTGAGACTGTACTCCTTAACAATTGTGTGTCTCTAGAAGTACACGCCGTATTGGAAATGAGGAAGATGCAACACAAGAGGTTCCTTTGTTCTGATGTTTGGATTCAGCCCGCAACTTGTTGAAATGTATTCACATCACGGATCATTTGATTCAGGATTCTTCAGCAGAGCCCCTTGATCCCTGGAAAAAATGTTAAGATGAAGTCACTTTGCCTGTGAGAACATTTCCATCAAAGATTGTATTTGAAAGTGATGATGTAACATATTGGTTTTTCACTGAAACATAAGCACATAGTCTAGCAGACTTGATTTTAGCAATAACACAGAAGTTTATTGCACAAAAGAAATGAAAATAAAATAGAACAAACCAAGATATTTACATAAAACACAATTTGAAGGATTTATAAACAAACAGCAAAACAAAATTCCACATATTCCAATGCCACCACTTTACAATACTCAAATATCAGAGACAGAAAGTTACCTTCTCTGTCATTTGTTCAGGTTTGGCTTAAATGCTCCCTTCTATTCCCACTCTTGACAGTTTAATAATCTTTTCCTTGATTCTTCACACAAATGAGTTCAAAGTTTTTTGGCTTCAAATGACTCCTTCAAATTTCTAACCTAACACTTCTGACTCAGAATTTTCCAACTACAGCCTTGCTGTCACATACCCTTTTTGCTAACTGTTCTGAACCAACTCATATCTCAATGAGAAACTGTTCTTACATCTAACCTCTTCTGTGAACTGCTATCAAAAGCATTCCAATCTTAGTTTTCCCTTAAGTAAAACAAAAACATAAGTTATTTTAAACTAAAAGCAAGTTAATGGCGTTCAGTGTTTAATCTCTTTGATCTTAAAACCCTTTACAATCCGAACCAATTCCCATCATCGCTCCAGGAAGTCATAGCCACTTGGTCTCTGACTCATGTCGGCTTAAAATTGTGACTCCAGAAATACTGTCAAGTTGATTATTAAATCCCTGCCTATGCACAGATCAAAAACCACATGCCACTAGTTCAAAATCCAAACTCTAAAATAAATAGCATAAATAAATTACACACCTTACATCACCAGATCATGAACGCTTCCTGCATATTTGGGATGTTCATCTGCCCAGAGTTTTCACTGTCACCATTCAAATGTTTCCCTTCACTCAGTGCCTGTTCTGTCCTGACCATACATAGAAGGAAGATCAGATGTCTGTCTTCAAATGTCAATATTGACACGGTGTTCAAAAATCCAAAAAAAATCATAATTATGGGTGAAAGAAAAACATTGAACCACATCAGAGACTCTACGCTGTAGTCTTTGTGCTCAGCCACTCTTACACATTCCTCCTCCTGTCACCTGAGATGCATATGATGGTAATCTGGTGATTCAAATGCCTGTATTAGCTACATGCACATTAATGCCACAGCAGCCTCGAGCTCGACCCTGCTTCAGAGGTCATCTGTCTGTTAGAAGGCACAAAAAGACAGCACCTTCCCTCCTCAGTGACTGCCTCATCCTTTGGATGGCCGGAGTTTATGTTCAACTGACATCTGTACTACTGATTGGTCAAAACTATGGAGTGTGCTGTGCAACATCAGAGCGCAATCCTTGCTTGCACTCGAATGTGATCCTTCATGTGACTCCCAATGAGATTGACCACCCTCTGAATGGAGGAGTTCATGCGCTCAAAGTCCTGAGTCAGGGTTGTGCACGTGAACTGACTAAAATACAGATACTCAAGGTAGAACCTCCTTTGCTGTGAATTTGGTGGACTTGCATCTATTTCTAGCTAAGCAAGACTGTGTTTATCCTCCATTCTCCAAGAAGGAACACCTGCAGTTGCCTTTGCTTATGCCTTCTCCTGCTGCCCACCCTGTTCTGGTACATCTCCATTATAATCAGGGTGCCATGAGGACCCACAGTTGTATTTGAGCTGGAGGAGGGTGCATTTGTAAAGTGTGGCCATGCTTGTTCTGAAGCTTTCTCTGGTTCTGTTTTGTCCAGTGATGGTACAGGAATCTTTGCACCTCACTGTCAGAACCTTCAGAAGGGCCACTGGTGATCTCAGCTATTTTGTGAAACATGATAGTTATGGAATGAATTAAGCTTTCAGAAAGTTAGTGAGATATTTATTTCTTCAGGACTGTGTGGGAGTTTTGATGATCTTGTCTTTGGGTTGATGAATGTGATTCTGGCTTATTATTGTATTCCCTGCCATATCCATCCATAAACACCATTCACCCTTTTAATCTTTTCCTGCTTGTAATTTGTAGATATGCTGGTCTATTACAATTCATATGTAAGTAATACTGTATTAAATTAGCTTTTACTACTTAGGCTCAATTGCTGTACAACTAATTACTGCTCATTTACATCCATGCCATTAATTATTATGTGCATTCTCTTTGGACTGTGCATATCCATTAAACTTCACTACAGTGATATTTATAGCACTGTCCTTGACTTCTCCTTTAACAGCTTAGTTTTTTTCTTCATATCATTATATCTGACTTGTGAGCTATAGTAGTTGTTCGCTACAAGTAGATTGCTATCAGTGAAGAAAAGTTGTGATTTGCATTCCCATCCTGGACACTTTATTTTGCTAGAAGTACCTGTTTTCGATATTGGAGTGCATTATTTTCTTTGAAACTAAATGATGACTGTATTTGAAATCTAAAATTAAATGATAAGTGAAATATGACTGCTATTTCCATCTCGTGTTAAATTATAAACTCCTGTGGTATCATTTAAGAGATTTTAGTTTGGTTGCAATATTGCTTGAACTAGTTTATCCAGCTAAAATTAAGTATTTTTCTTTCTTCTTTTAGGTCGCATGCATGCAGTTAATTAATGCTCTGGTCACATCTCCAGATGATCTGGATTTCAGGATACACTTGAGAAATGAATTCTTACGTTGTGGATTGAAAAAGATACTTCCTGTAAGAAGAATTAAGAGTTCATTCTATTACCACGTGAAAAACAACCTAACAAAAATGTTTGAGAAGAGCAATAATGGGGTTATAAGACTTCAGTGTGGCTTGTGATGATTGAAATAAAATAGTCACTGGTATGAAAGTGTTTCAGCTCACAAAAGCTTCACGGAGGTTTTCAGTGGAATCATAAATGAAGCATTTTTAAAAGAAAAGTTCTTTGTGAAGCTTCACAAGCTCCTTAACTTGTTAAAAGCATTTCTTTGAGTGGTGCTATTTGATTTTTCTGATATGACAGGTCTTATCCATTTTTGGTAGGGCTGGTAGGGAAGTTAGGGAAGGCAAAATATATTTCTACTGACTGTTCAATTTTGGGTGACATTTCATTTATCAGACTTTGTAAGTTATTACAGTGCAAATCATTTTCTATTGTATAGAAAGCCTTGCATGTGATTTTGATGAAATTGACATTATTTCACAAAAGAAAAGCTATTGTAATAGACTGTTAGTAAGGAACATTGGCTTTGAAGACGGAAGAATGTGGAAACAGGTGTCAAGTCCGAAATTGAGAAACTTAACAAAGTCCATCATTCACATTTCTTTTGCGATGTGTTCCATATCCTGTGCAATAAATTTCTCCATATCTAGCAAGGTATCAATCGGAAGGGAAGTCTCACCTTGACACGATGTATTCTTAGTATTTGCTGTTGGTTTGGTGGTAGGAGCTTATTTATGAATATTGATTCTGGAGGAATTACTTCATTTACAGTTGCAAAGGAAGCGCTTAAAATAATGCTTTTAATGCAGTGTTCTGTTGGCTTTAACTACACAAGTTTAATTCTTTTCTTTGTCTTTGGTAATGGCTGGACTGATACAAGAAGCTTAATTAAATTCAAATGCAACTGTGTAGCAATGTGAACATAAACAAGGCATTCACTAATATCTGATCCAGGCCCAATTTCCTTTTGTTCTTCAACTTTCATACAATGTGTACATGAGTGTGTTTTTGGAATTTTTAGGTCCTGAAAGATAAAGAAAATGAAGAACTAGATATTCAATTAAAAGTGTTTGATGAAAACAAAGAAGAAGACTTCATTGAGGTGTCACATCGACTGGAAGACATCCGGTCTGAGATGGAATATCCTTATCAAATCATTGTTTCTTTTTTTTTGTTTAGATCACTTCACCGTGACAATTATTTTCTACTTTTGAGCTCATTGTTTTGTCAACAAATTATAGTGGGAAAGCATCGTCATGTTAAAATAGCGACACTAGAGAATATTTCATTGCAAGCTCATTATCTGTAGAAGCATATTAGATTTTATTTTATTACACATTTAAATGTGAGAAGTGTGCCTGTATTTTTAACCTAATTAAAGTGATCGCACAAATAGACCTGCCAACCCCAAGTTCGGTTGAACAGTCATCTCTAAGTTGTATTTTTAATTACGGATTCTAGTTAATGAACAAAGCCATTCATTAGATGTTCCCTAAAGTTATTCTTCTCCCAAGCATGTTGTATTAATGCAGTCTGTTTCTTTTTGTTATTTTTGGCAACTGTGATTTGTCTATGTTGCACAATGTGTCTTTCAAAACTTATTTTTAGTTGCAAGTGTGAAAGTGAATGAGAAAACAGAAATATCATATACCTATGTTACTTATAACAGAAAACTTCTAACTACAATAATTTGCTGCACAAAAGATGACACGATTTTTTTGGCCCCATAGCCGTCTTTTTGTATGTACTTTCTGTGTAAGTCAAAGCATCTGCTGTCTCATCCAGGAAATGTTGTCTTGTAATTAGTAGTTAATTTTTCACCAGTTTCTGAAACCAGGGCACAAAGGTTCAAACAGGTGATATGAACTGTCCTTTGAAGATGTGTGGGGAGTTTAAGACATGCCCACTCTTTGCATTGGATGCTGATGAAATTTCAGAACAGTGACTTTTGATTGACTTTTACACTTGATGTGTGAATTGACACCTGATTTTGGAAGTTTTTGTTTATAAGACTTCAAGTGTCAACTTACGTGCCAACAATTTGAGATGTCTAATCTATTTGGTTGATTAATGGCAATTTTTTATTATTGTTTTGAATGGATAGAACAAAGGGAAACGGATATTAAATGATTTGTCAATGAAGATGAGACCATTGTAAGCAACTGGTTAATTTATCACTAATAGGATCAGAATTTAGTTATATTATTCTTTCTCATGAAATCTCATTATGGGTACATGGAATATATGCATGACTTGCTCAGCTTCTCTAATACAAGCATCTTTTTTAACTTGCAGTTCAGTTTAGTTTGGTTTAGCCATTCATTCATTAATGTGCTGTTTCTGTTTTAAAACAATGACAGTGTACCTCACTCCAATTGATTCTGTATATTACTGGTGCAAGATAATCTCTTTGAAGCTCTTTTCACTCTCATGAAATGCCTCACTTTTTTAGTCATGAAATATATCTAATAAGTTCAGTTGGTTTATAGTTTGAAACAAACTGCATGAGGATAAACCTATTCCTTTTTGGGAAATAAAGACTTACTTCAAATACTTCTGTATTTATCAACAGAGAGTTTGTTGTAATAGTTTTCTGTGTTGTATTTATTCCAAAAATCTCCATATAAATAACATCTTTGCCATCATAACATCCAAAGATGCTTCACAGGAGCAGTATCAGATCTGATTGGACATGAACCGCATTGAAAAATACAGGATAGGTGTCCAAATGCATGGATAGAGAATTGGCTTTTAAAGAACATCTCAAAGTCCACTAAAGGAGGAGAGAAATGTTTAGAGGGCTGAAGGTGTAAGGAATAACATCCAGAGTTGAAGGCACAGTTGCTTGTGGTGGAACAGCTATCTTGAGGATACAAAAGAGGCCAGAATTAGAGGAACAAGGAGATTTCACAGGGCTGTAGAACTGGAGAATTTTATAGCAAAAGGAACCAATGTCATGGAGGGATTTGAAGATGAAAGCGTGAATTTTTAAGTTGAAGTGTTGCCAGACAAAATGACTCTGAAGGTGATAGTTAAATGAAGTTAGGGTATAACCAGTGGAGGTTGAAATGATTTCAAGTGTATTGTGGCACTGTGTGTTTATCCATTCAGAAGTGTATTGGTTTTGTTGAGTATACAGGCAACAAAGGCACAGATGAGAATTTTAGCAGCCAAGGTACCGAGGCAGAGTACGGTGGTGTTAGAAAGGTGAAAATAGGCAATCTCGGTGACAGTAGATTTGGAGTCAGAAGCTCAGCTCAAGATCAAATGCCACAATAGATCTAATTTGTTGAAGATTGAGCAGACAGAAATCAGTATTGGAAAAATGTTTTCAAGTTTTATACTTTGAGGTGTGAACTTTACTTTTTTTTTTAAAAGCTAGAGCTGGAAATACGTTGGACATAGCTCCACTTTATTTCCTAATGTTATAAATACAAATATAAATCTAATGCACATTTTATTAGCTTTTTATTCTTAACTCCATTGTACTGACATGAATGAAGTGTACCATCTGCTGTCTAATATGGTGAAGGACACTGCAGCGGAGAATTATTTTCTCTCAATGCTGCAACACCTACTGCTCATCAGGAATGATTACTATGTCAGGTGAGAGGTCATGCTGAGTGGAATTTTTGATATTTTGATTGCCAATCAAGTGTTATGACGATAACCAAGTATTAAACATCGTTGCAATAATTATTTGCATAAATTAATGAGATGCCTGGTTTTTGTAGTGTCTCTTAGAGAAAATGGCTTTTGACCAGGTTATGTTCAGTTCGTCCAAGTGAATATTGTAAAAGTAATGTATTCAACCTAGATTGAAGTTATTGACACAAAAGGAAAGTATAATTTTCATCAAGTTACAGAAATGTAGACGAATGTAAACCTGAGAATCTAGGAATAATTCTTTTCCTACTACTTTATTTTATGACATTTGATTCTTTTATGTCTATGCTTCCCCAAAGAGAAAAGGAGCCATGTTTCAGGGGGAGGTAATTAAAGTTGGCTTTCTCAGACTGGTGGTTTATGAAGTACAATGGAAATGTGAAGATATTGGGGCAGCACAGTGGCTTACTGGTTAGCACTGCTGCCTCAGTGCCAGGGACCCGAGTTCGATTCCACCCTCAGGTGACTGTCTGTATGGAGTTTGCACATTCTCCCTGTGTCTGCATGGGATTCCGCCGGGTGCTGCGGTTTCCTCCCGCAGTCCAAAGAAGTGCAAGTTAGGTGGATTAGCCATGCTAAATTGTCCATAGTGCGGACCTGTTGGGCGGAATGACCTGTTTCCATATTGTAGGGATTCTATGATTTGATCTAGTGATTCCTTGTGACTTTTAGTGGAAAACAGGGAAAGTCTTTCAAACCTAATGAATATTTCAATGCAAGTTATTAATCCTTCATTTTAAAAAGACACTGATATCCAGTTCAATTATTTGCATGTCAATTTCGGTTTGACTTTTCTAAGATAGCCTTCGAATTTTTAACAACACATGTACAAATCATGGGAAAGATATTTTTTGAAAAGTTCACACCTTGAATATGATATGATCGAATATGAACTTTGTGTTCAGTTTATTTAATACACTTTTGAATTCAATGTAAAACCTTTAATGGGATTTTGTGTTGGGCTATTTCTGATTAGTACTACGTAAAAGTCATTTTTGGAATTATTGTGCTTCCAGACCTCAGTATTACAAGATTATTGAAGAATGCGTTTCGCAGATAGTATTGCATCGGAATGGAGTAGATCCCGACTTTGAATACCGTAAACGATTAGATGTAGATTTTAGTCATCTCATAGGTATGTTTGAATACTTATTCAGCTTTTGATTGAACGTTTAAGCTGTGTTAACAATTTTGAAATTTTTATTCTGTTCAAGTTTTCTATTGCTTTGCTTCTTAGCTGTAATTTTGTGAAAGTTCCAAATGCGTATGCATAATAGTGTGATATACTTTTGAATAAAATAAGACTGTTTAATGAGTAAACATTTTCATCAATGGAAGAAAATACGTAGCTAATTTAGCCATCACTGAACCAGCCAATGTGGTAGAATAGAGCCATACCACATACATTTGAACTAATCTGATCCTAGGGTACAGATCACTGCTGTTGTCTCCGCAGTAACAAACTGGTGTGCAAAATAAGTTAATGGCTCAGATTTTCTGATGGGTAGATAATCATTTCTGACAAAGAGATGGGGATTTCACATGGGGATCCCCTAAAGTCCCCACTGAGGCAGACTTTCAAAAAGTTGAATATCCTACTGGGCAATTCCCTATGTCTTGATCCCTGTGAATGTATGCATTTAATTACAGCTAAGTAAATAGTTAATCAAAAATGATAACTATTAATTACGTGGTCTAACTCCCAATGAACACTTCAACTAATCCCCCAAGGTAGCTTACTGCTTTTCCCAGCCCAACCACTTTGGACCTGAAACTTCCCATGACCTGACAACACCACCTCCTGTACCAACACTGCACCCCTTTACCCCTTTCTTGCTCTGATGCCAACACACCTGTCCCCTGCTCCAAAGACACTGCCATCTTCCCATCACCTATTCATGGACCTTTATACCTGATGTTTCAGCAATCCGTTGCATACCAGGTCCAGTTGCCATCTTGCATCCTGGCACTCATTCCGTCTGAGCTCACACGCAGACGCTCCGATGTACCACACATAATGGTCACTGTGTCAACACAGATTGCAACAGTAACTTCTGGTTCTGGTAGTCACTATTTTGCATGGACCTCAGCGGTCCACACAGAGAAAATAAAAAAGTTAGAGGAAGTTCTGCCTTCCACTTTATCCAATTGACACCCTACTGCATAACTACTTAGCCTTGATCGCACTCCTGAAGAAACCCTAATCGGAACCTTCTGTCAGATCTGCAGACTGTTCGGTTTTTCAAAACAAAACGTGCAGAGTAGCAATCTGTGATTGTTACTCCTCAGAAAATCCAGCCAGATATTCTTTGCTGAGTTGAGTTAATTGTTGGATAAAAATTCAACCCAAATAAGTTGAGCATGTATGCTTTTTTGTGGATGTCCATACACAGCCACATTTTGGAATGAGCAAGTTCTTGCTTATTCTAACTATCATTCAGATAATGTCAGAAAGTACGAATGGTAAGATTGTGGAAAGCATTCAAAACTGCTTTATTCAAATCCAATGAAGCAAGAGAATGACTAATGCAGAAATTTGGAATAAATTGTGAAATTAGCTGAAAGATGTTTTATTAACTATGTTAATTTTATTCAGATTTAATTTTGCAAGTTCATTAGTTGAAATATACGTGCATTGTGAAAATAGCGAAGTTTTTATGAAAGAAGTGTTATGATTTCTAATGGTACATCACACAGTTAGATCCTGAACTTTTTTATGGAGGTTTCCAGGAATATTAAGTGGATTTCCTAAAAATTATTTTCACTATTAAATGACAAGTTGTACAACAGCAAAGACTTTAATAACCTGGGATTAGCAAAATTTCAGAACAACATTCATTTATGCCATGTTATTACTGTCTTTGCATTATGTTGAGTTTGTCATCCCATGATAGTAAATATTTTTTATAGCTCTGGTAACAAAACTCCCTAGCAGGTGGGTGAGCTGTTTTTATTTGGTGTATTCTGAAGGTTTATATATAACCTTTGCACAAATATTGGCTGTTCAGTAGAATTTTCTTTGTTCTAATGAAGTTCAGTTCAAATGCAGTTTTTTCTTGTAAGATGCAATGAAAGTTGGAACACATAATCAGTTGGTCTATCTCAACAGGTCAGTGTGTTGACAAAGCAAAAGTAGAAGAAAGTGAAAAAAAGGCATTAGAATTTTCCAAAAAGGTAGGTACCAAAAAAAAAACTTGAAGCCATAACTTACTAAATTTATTATTGTAAAAAGCAGTGCATTTTTGATGCAGGGATCAATGAGGCCATTGAGTGTGAAGGGGGTTGGGACTTTTTTTGTTGAATTCATGTTATGTTAATATGATCAAGCCACAATTTGTACCATATTGCAGACATCAGCATTGCTTATATATCAGAATGTCCTGAGTGCCATTTAGACAAATTTAGAGTCTTCAGTTTGAGAGGAATAGTTTCAGCACTACAAAAAGATATTAGAAAGTAGAAACTCTACAAGAAATGATTTAATTAGATAATCCTGTCTCTTTCCTTCAGTATTGTTCAATTACAAGAATGATAGCTTTTTGCAGAGTTGCATATTCTTTCCTAAGTCTTTAGGAGTCACACCAGTTTTAAACAAAGGCGAAAGCCCATTTGTCCCTTGCACTTTTATATCCATCATCAAAGACCTATCTGTTTAGTTATATGTTCCTGCAGTATTGCCACCACTGTCTAAAATTCTTCATTCAAACATATATTTAGATTTATTCATTACTGTGAACTGCTAGTTGAATTTGGTTTGGAATGAGCAGGCTGGAGAACAACCTCGGGTATAGGGCTAAATCCAAGCATGATGAAACACTGCTCTGCCAATAATATGACTGATGTGTTCCATCCCGCAAGTTGTATTTTTTTTTTTTATTATTGAGAGGCTAATGCTAGGATAGCATAAAGTTGAAGGAGTAGGAAAAATATTTGATAAATCAATGAGAAAAGCATTAATGTTTTGAGCATAGACAATCCTTTAGATCCATCATGTCAATGCCAGTTCTTTGCTGAAGCAATGTAAAATTGTACCGACACCTTGCTGTCTTCCTGTCTTTCTCTGCTTAAAATATTTATCCAATTTTCCCTTAAATGGTGAAATGCTGTGATCTCCTCCACAGCCATACTTCTGACAAAGCAGTCTATGCTCCAAAAAACCCCTCTATGAAGAAATTTCTCCTAATGTCTCTCCTCCCTCTTGTAGTGAAGTTGCACGTTCCTCTTCATCGTTAACTCTCCAAATGGAAGGAATTATTATTCTTGATTTGCACAAGGAAAGCCTTATAACTTTAAAATTCTTCTCTAAAATATCCTCTTAATATTTTGGAGCCAATGGAAGTAGTTCCACTTTGTGAAGTTTCTGCTTATAAATTTCTAATCCCTGGGATCAATCTGGGTGAATCTGTTTTGTGCACACTCTGGCTTTCATGTCCTTTCCTTTATGTAATGCAGCACCTAAAAATGTCAGTGTTCTTGTACCATTCTATTGTACAAATCTTTCATTCCTATGTTACTCTTTTAAACAGTGATTGAGTGATTCCAATTTTGAGTTTTTAAAGCATGTTGATTGTAGAATGCATGAAGTAAAATGTCTCCATACTTGTGTCCTGTTGCAGAGTGAATTGAGATGAATCATGATCTCATTACAGGGGCCAAAAAGGAGTGCCTTGAGGACTTGCTTTTTAATTGTCTTGAAATAGACTTCCCGTGTCTGTTTGAGTATAGAGATTTTTTCTAATTTAGGATCACTTCATGACATAACTGAGGGTAAAATGGGAAATGTTGAGCTTTTTGAACGAAGTTTCTGTTGATTTTTACATTTGTCTAATTTTTCAAGTGCAGTGGAATTTCACATTAGCTTCAGTCGCATTGGGCTGGATTTTCCAAGAAGTGACAATCTCAGTCAGATTGCCGCTCTGCTCCAATATCTCCCCATAAAGATGGAGCTCCCTATTTCTGGCAGACTTTTCCCTCAGGAATGCAGAGTATACCTTAACTGCAACTGCGCCCTTGTGCAGGATAGTTTGGAAAGGCCAACCAAGCCCTCCCTCTCTTTTTTGTAGCAGTTGTTGCCATAACCTTTGATTTAAATGTCCAGTTACACAGACAGCCACTTAGGAGTGCTCCACTGAAAGGCTAAGTATGTAAGATAAGTATGAGGTGCCCTTGTGTTGCATAATAGTCTCCCTACCACTAGGACATACTTGGGTTTAGTCACTTGCTCGAGAGGTATGTAATAACATCTCTGAACAGGTTGATAGCAATATAATTTGTAAGATAAATATGGGGTTATGTTGTCAGTTGGGTAGCGTACCCAGTGTTGTTGAATTTTTAGTGAATTAGGCCTGTTGGGGTGGGTGAATGAGGATGTTGACTCCCAAAGGAGAGATAGAGATGGTGGGAGTATGTGTTTGGACCCTGGGGAAAGAGGTCAAGTCTTGCTGCAGAGAGGGAGTGGTGAGTCACGCCCTGGTAGCAGGAAGAGGGGTCTTGGAGGGGAGGTGGGGTGTTGTCAGGCCTCTGGAAAGGGATAGGTGTCAGTTCCAGCAGTGTGAGAGGGTAGATGCCAGGTTTGATGGTGTAGGAAGGGTATTGCTGGACCTGGGAGATGAGATGATATGTTGGATCCAAGTCTGTGTAATATGATGTCTTTAGGAAATGTGTAGTTTGGAGTGTGTTTGGTAGGTTGGGGGATCAGTTTAATAGTTACCCAGGAGTTTTAATTGGGTTTTAATCTTCTAAACTTTCATGCATAACTATTAACTCCAGCAGAATTCTCTGATTTAAATGGATACTTTTGGAAGGCTTCAGAAATTGCCCTTTGAAATCTTAAACCTCCCGGCCTTTCCTTTGGAGACTGTTATATTGGAGATTCCACAGAGGGCCTGATGTGCAACTCCCATTTATACTGGAGAAACAGCAATCTGGATATTGAAACTTTCTCACTATTATTTGATTTCCTGTGACCTTAACCTGTTCATTGTACAAGTTAGTTAGGTGATTTAGAGATAACAAGGTGTAGAGCTGGATGAACACAGCAGGCCAAGCAGCATCAGAGGACCAGGAAGGCTGACGTTTCAGGCCTAGACCCTTCTTCAGAAAGGTGATTTAGTTGTTTTGTAGGGGACGCAAATACCCTTGTGATTTAATATGATTATATTACTTGCAAACCAAAATGACGAATCTCTATCCTAAGCTTTATTGGCTGACATTCACTTAAAATTGATGTTTACAGAGCTTGGCAGCTATAGTTTTGCTATTTGCAATGCTTATTTTTGCATTGCACTGTGTTTTGATCCTCCTTCCTTTCAATCAAGAATGATTTTCTGCAAATATCCAGTTGCTAATGGAGAGAATTGTTTGTTGGGAATTATCAATGATAAAACTGATTAAGTTGAATAGAAACAAAAAGTAGACTGCCAAACGTGCGGCTTGGGAGTTGGAACGTGAAAAATAAAGCAAACTGTTTTACTTAGTAAGTGATAACTTTATTTCATATACATATATGTATGTGTATATCGGTACATAGAAGTATATATGTTGTCATTAAACTGAGCTGATCTTGAAGGCTTCACTGATATGTGTTTCAGTTTGATGAAGAATTTACAGCTCGACAGGAGGCACAGGCTGAAAATCAAAAGAAAGATGAAAAAATCAAAGAGCTTGAAACAAAACTCCATCAGCTGGAAGCAGAGGTAATAAATATATGCTTCATGAAATTTCAAGAAGCAATGCATAGAAACTTACATGAGAGTGTTTGAATATTGTGAACAAGATCAGAAAGTATAGAGAATAAATTTTACTTTTTTTAGGCAACCATATAATAATTTTGTTTTCAATTCATGCCACAGTGATGGTAATTTTTATTTAAATCAGTTCATGGGATCTGAGTGTTAACAGTTTGGCCAAAATGTGTTGCCAATCAAGCTTGAACACCCGCACCAACAGGCTCAAGAACAGCTTCTTCCCTGCAGTTATCAGACTAATTTCAAATCTAATGTTGACCTTGCTTTTGTGCACCTCCTGTGCAATCATAACCTTGCATGCCTTGTTCTGACTAAGCACTCTATGATCTGTATGTCCTTGTTTGCTATGATCTGCCTGTACTGCCCGCAAAACAAAACTTTTCATTGAAATTAGATACGTGTGAAAACAATCAATCAAATCATAATTGTCCTTGAATATTTCCAAGTCCGAATGCTGAGGGGCTTGGAGGGAAACTTGCCAGTGGTGAGGTTCCCTTGTCTCTGCTGTTCTTGTCCTTGGATCTGATATAGTTCCTGGTCTGGAAGTTGCTTTCTAAGAAACTTTGGTGATGTGAATTGCATAGCAGAATAATGAAATTAATATGCAATCAAAATTCATAATTTCTTCAACCTCCGTGGAAAAGTAGCCTGAGCAGAATATAGTGAGATCACTGCAGAGACCAAAAACTTTAAAAATAAGTGAATTTGAGTGACCGATTGAAAAGATCTAAGACTTGTGTGAAGGTATACTAAAAGTGACATTGTCTAAACACTATTCAGTCAGCAGCATGCACTCTGAATTACAAAAAAAAAATCACCCGTTTAACTTAGCAAATAACTGAAAATACCTCTCCATGGTTATACTTTGTTACTTAAGTGTGCGCCAGGAACCAGTCCAAAGGCGTTTTTCAACTCTTGATGGACAGCTAACTTGTTCTCTTTTCCAGTCAGGTAATTTCTAAATTCCTGAATTAAGTTCGACAGTGGATTTCTCTTTCCATCCAAAGCTCATGTCAAAGAACATGGTATAATTGCCCATGGAGAGTGCAGCATGAGATCACATGATTCTCAGCAAGCATCAGCACAGCAGAGGACTTTTCAAACAACAGGATTAGCTTCCTGTGAATATCTGGGGAACAGTGCCTGAGAAATCTATGGTGCCACATGGTTGCTAGGTTTCAGATGTTTCATAGAAAAGAGGGTCACAGGCTTTGGTCTTGAATTTAGAATGAGATTAATTTTCAAGAAATAAAGAGATTTATTGCAATTGGTAGGAAAAATTATTATTGGTAAATCTGCCAAATGTATTCATGAAGGTGGCTTATAAAACAAATGCATTTTATTGAAAGGCAAAGGATGTTTCTGGAGTGATATATAATCTTGGTTCATGAGAATAGCTTGGACCAGTAATAAATCAATTGGAGAAGGTTTATATAACCATGAAAGGCAGTCCATGAGTGAGGACTGGGCAGACAAAGCAACAAAAGATTAGCAAAACAATTAATGCAAATACAGGGATAAAGATCTGCAGCTGGTATCATCGGAGTAAACAAAGTTGGTTCATAAGTACACTTTAAAAATTGCTAAGAACAGGTGACTCCAATTAATATGATGCTGAATGATAGAAAATATGAATAGTAAAAATTGCAATAATATTTAAATTCATCTTCAGTGGAGGAAAATGCAATGCCAGTGGTATACGAAAGATAAATGCAAGGAGAAACTGTCTAATGATATAATAATCGGATTATTATATCATTATAATTAGCCAGATAACATTGTTTTCCATTGATGCTGTTTAAAAAAAAATGTTGTTTAAGTATGTACTAGAAACTGGCTACAGGATTAACCTGTTGTTCAAAAAAATGCAGCATAATTTAACTACAGACCAGCAACTTGCAAGACATGGTGCAAAAATTAGACAAATCCACAATCAGGAATAATGTAAATGCACTCAGCACGTTTAATGAAAGATAGGTCAAGTCCAACTAACTTGGTAGTGTTGTTGGAGGAATCGCTGGGGGGACATCGACAGATTTGGTACATAAAGTTTTTCAGGGATATGTGAGGAAATTCAATATATCAGATTGGTAAAACTGTGACATTGGTAGGAAAATTGTTAAGATTGAGACTTTGAATAAGAAACATATCTGAAGGTGTAAGAAACTAATGTTTTTCTTGAGAACATTGACTTCTTCACTTCGATTGGTGTTTGCATTTTATGTATCTGTATTTTGAAAATACAAAAACGTATCCAAATATATAAATGCTATCACCATATGAGGTATGAGGCAGTGGGCAGAAGATTACAGTACTTAAATTAAACAAGTGACAGTCACAAGTGCCATTTATGTGTGAATTGTTATACATTGAGTAACTGGCCAAACTAATATCTAATTGTAAAAATAAACTATTCAAATGAAGAAAGAGGTTTGGGAGTTTTAAGTATTCATGGGCAAAATATTTTCCGGAAGGCTACATTCTAATTTTCGGGGCTACTTTTTAATTTTGGCTAAATAACTTCTTGGGTATGTTCTGTATTTGTGTTGACATATAAGTTAAATGGGCTTGCAAAGAAACCGATTAAAGAATTATCAATATTTTCAGTAATAACCAATTGTGTATTAAAATTCAAATTACAACACTTATAGAGAATATGAAATTTCCTAGGTGATACAGTGTTTAAATTGGTACAAAACAACGGGCCTAATTTCGCACTAAAAGTTGTTTTGAAAACATAACTGACGTAATTCTGTATGAAAAACACCATCACCTTAAACACAAATTCCATAGATTGGAAAGGTCAGAGCTAATGTGTTTCCATCATTTGTGTACAAAGCTGGAATATTTTAGCCCAGCAGTTATTAACCTTTTTACTGCATCTCAGATCTTAATCTCAGATTTCATTAATATTCGGTATGACAGGATATAATACATTCCATTGTAACGCTAAAACTTATGCAACTTTGTACCAGAGATTGCACATTCACTTGAAAGGAATTAATTCCCTCAGAGATTTCAAGTTTCCTTGGATCCCAGTTGACTCATTTAAAACTGCCCACTCTTCATTATGTCTCCCTGTACCTCCACACCTACATTGCAGCTTCCTTCTGCACCACCACCCTTTTGAGGCTGCCTGTTTTCCTCCCACCATCCTCCACCCTGATGGAAGTCTCCATCCTGAGCGTGACAAATGCAACTTCTGGACTTGGCTCCCCTGCCTTTTCCCCTTAGGCCTGTATGTTCCTCTCTTTGGACCATTTTCTGTTAATCTTTTGAAAGCCCTGACAGAATCAGCTCCACCTTGCAGTCTAACAGTGTCATCTGATCCTAACCACTCAGTGTATGAGGTTTTCCTCATGTTGCCTCTGTTTCTTTTACAATTCACTTTATATTATTATTGTCTGGTTCTTGACCCTTCTGCCAGAAGGAACAGTTTCTCTTCATTTAATCTGTCCAGAACTTGAAATGACAGTTGTCCGTGTACTCCATCACACATTTAGAATTATTTTCTTCATTAAATTGCTTTCCCTTCTTCCTGCTATCAAAACTAATCATTTCAAACTTGACTGTATTAAATCCCATTTGCCAATTACCCACCAATTCTCTCAGCATATTCCCTTTTGAGATTTGACACTACCTTCCACACAGTCTGCAATTTGTGTGTCATCCAAAATTTTTGAAATTGTACTTTGTGCACCCATGTCCTAAAACTGACTCATGGATAACCTCACCAAATATCATTCCTCATACTGAAAAACAATGGTGCACCACTACTCTCTGTTACCCATCACCAACTTTGTATCCTTGTTCCCTTATTGCTTGGATTTTAACTTTGCTGACAAGCTTGTTATCTGAAACTTTCAACAACAGCCTAAGTTCACTTGCCTGTCAGTCAGTTTGATAACGAGGTCTACACACGTCGTGAGTTTTGGCTGTGTGTTTTCATGTGTCTGAACATGGCTTATATTTGACCTGAAGATTTTTGGGTACATGGGCTGTGCAAGATAGTGGGATCTGGACCAGATGGTGTTGGTTAATATGATTTCCGTTTGGTCACATTTAACTGAGTTTCTTGAATGCAGAATTGAAAAAATCAAGAATGCCCCTCACTGGTGTAGAGTGGCCAATGATACTGTGGTAATCTGCAAAATTGTAGGCCATGCAGGTCCGTGGTTGTCAGTTTAGTTTTGACTCTTATTTCTACGTTTATTAGCATGTGGCACCCAGAGTAATCCTAGTTTTATTACCTTCAAAGTTCTGCTTGCTTTTTTGTTTCCTATATCTGCAGGACATCATCCTTCTTTCTACCTATGTCATTGGTACTGATAAGAGCAATGAACATAGGAACAGGAGTAGGCAATTCAGCTCCTTAAGCCTGTTCCACATTAGTTTTAATTTTGTCATTAGACTCTTAATTCCAGATTTTGTTTGTTTTTAATTGAATTCAAATTGCACCATCTACTATCGCTGGATTCAAACTTGGCTTCCCATAACATTACCTTGGTCACTGTATTAATAGTCTAGCAATAATCCCACTAGGCCATGGACCCTGGTTGTTTACCCTCCCCTCTCAGAATGTTCTGCAGCTGTTCAATGATATTCTTGACCATTCACTAGGAGGCAACGTACCATTCTGAACTGATGGTACAGCCACAGAAATACCTGAACATTCCCTTGTCAATTTCTGTACTGCTGTTTATTTTCTAATCTTCTCCTGCCTCTACCCCACCCTTACCAATGCAACTAAATGAGCCATTAGCTTGGCTCTGGCTGCAACCACCACAGAACCATTACTGTCAGCAGTATTCAGAAAGGTATGATGGTTGGAGAGTGAGACGCACTCAAGGGACTCCCCCAGTACCTGTCTGGCTTTCCTTGAGTGCTTAGAAGTCATCCATTTCCTACCTGCATTTCCTCAAGTTGTAATACTGACTGCATACATAAAG